CCCAGGAGAAAAGAACGGAATTGCTCCGGGGTTTTGGGGATTTTTGGGATCCGTTTATTATCCTGTGTTTCCGCTGGCTCCCGTCTGAACTGGTCTGGACTGGTGTGAACTGGTCTGAACTGGTCTGGACTGGTCTGGACTGGTCTGGACTGGTTTGGACTGGTTTGGACTGGTTTGGACTGGTCAGGCGTGCAGGAAGCGGTTGAAGGCGTTGTAGGCGGCCTCGAGGTCGAAGAGCATCTGCCGGACCTGGGAATCGTCGAGCTCGTCCGAGGCCGACATCGCGCTCAGCGTCTGCAGCCTGAAATTCCCACAATTCCCAAAAATTCCAGCCGGAATTCCTGAAATTCCCATCCCAGAATTCCCAAAAATTCCAGCCACAAGTCCTGAAATCCCACCCCAGAATTCCCAGAATTCCCAAGAAATTCCAGCTACAATTCCTGAAATTCCACCCCAGAATTCCCAAAAATTCCAGCCACAAGTCCTGAAATTCCACCCCAGAATTCCCAAAAATTCCAGCCACAAGTCCTGAAATTCCACCCCAGAATTCCCAGAATTCCCAAAAAATTCCAGCCACAATTCCTGAAATTCCACCCCAGAATTCCCAAAAAATTCCAGCTGGAATTCCTGAAATTCCCATCCCAGAATTCCCAAAAAATTCCAGCCAGAATTCCTGAAATTCCACCCCAGAATTCCCAAAAAATTCCAGCCAGAATTCCTGAAATTCCACCCCAGAATTCCCAGAATTCCCAAGAAATTCCAGCCAAAATTCCTGAAATTCCACCCCAAAATTCCCAAAAATTCCAGCTGGAATTCCTGAAATTCCACCCCAGAATTCCCCAGGGAATTCCAAAAAATTCCCCAAGAAACTGAAAAAATTCCTCTGGAAATTCCCAAAATTAAAAAAAAAAAAACAAACCCCAAAATTCCTCAAATTCCTCCCAAAATTCCCTAAAATTCCTTAAATTCCACCCCAAAATTCCCAAGGAAATTCCCAAAAAACTTTCCCTGAAAATTCTGAAAAAATTCCC